GCGCTGGTGGATAATGGAAGAGGAAGGACATGATAATGCACTCTGACAGACCATTCTTCCTTATCTACATCCTCTCAGCCCTCTCTCAACTTAGAAGGCTTCCTGCCGACTTCTTAAAAAGTAACCACTTCACCTCACACAACATCACGTGTTAAAGATAAATAGATAAACTGATACACTGAAAATCATACAGACCCCTTAATGCTGCTGCTTTACGCAATATAATGTCTAAGCTACCGGGATGGATAACAGGCGGATTTAACTGAAACGACATCACATGATAGAACCTAGCACTTCATGTAACAAACTTGTGTGTTTCTACAGGTTTTCATTTAGTTTGCAAATGATATAAAGAGATAGAGATGATTGTGGAGGAAGACCATGCAGTTGTGTCTGCCTGTGTTGTTGTAGTTTTGTCCAGCTGTCACTAGGTGTTACTAAAGACCCATATTTTGCTGATTGCACTTTCAAATGAATGTCTACTAATTAAGAGTGTATTTACCCACATAGTTTAATTTCGATAGTGACACAGTGTGCGAAGAAAGTGTGTGTGCAAACATCTGAATTTCACGACCATCCTTCTAACTCTAGTCAAACAAGTCTGGTCACAAGTTGCAGCAACTGAGCAACGTTTTAGCTTCATCAAGAGAGTAAACGGTGTAGTGTGATGAGTGTGTGTGTGTGTGTGTACCATAGTTTAATGCTGTGGTCAGTACCCTTATCTTTTCCTCCGTCTGTTCACTCTGGTGTTAAGGAGCTGGCTCAGCTATTTTCCGCTCGTCCTCCTTCGAGCAGCTTCAGTCTGACCTACTTACAGGCTAGAAGGACCAGTGGAGGTGGCATCAACGACCAAAAGCTCCTCTCTGCCAGAGTCTCACTGTTTTCTGCCAGGGCATTCTCACACATTTTAATCAGCCTTGGTTGACATTTTTGGATGTAACAATAGATTCTTAGACAACTGTAACAGCCCATAACAGTGATCTTCACAAACACACTTTTTGTAGCTCTTTTTTAATTCATTTTGATTAATAAATTGTTTGCATTTGCTTAGTGGCAAACGGGTTCAGGTTTTCCCTGGTACAGCAAGCAAACGTGCTAAATGGCTTTATAAATGTCATTGGCTTTCGTCAAAACACTGGTTACATGAGGGCTTTTACCTCGCCTGGTAAATTGGAACTTTTCCATCATGTCTGTTTATTGTAAACATGCCAGGTAAGGTCATTGGTATTTTCAGACTGTAGGATTTATTATTGAGCTACAATGCACTATTGCTTTTATTAATCATTAATCTTCTGATTATTTTCTTGATTAATCATTTGGTCTACAAAGCTAACACTCACCACGGTTGATGGGTGTAGTTCAGCAGAAAGAAAATATTTCCTACATGAAACTGCCTACAAGAAGGCAGATTATCTTGAGTAACTGGGTCATGATTTCTGGAAAGAGACATTGCTTTTGAGTTTTATATTATGTTAGTTATGTATTTGTTTGGCACTCTGAGCACCACAAGCCAACTGCCATCTGGTTCCATTATATTTGAATGAAGGCAGACATCCACGGCCGATTTCTCCAAAACTCAGCAGGTCACAGCAAAACAATCTAGATGTATAAATAGAAGTCGAGGTAAGAGGAAAATGTGTGTTTGATTTTGGGATGAACTCCTCCTTTTAAGCTTTTAGTTTATGATCAGAACTCAATTAATCGACTTATTGTTTCAGCTTTGCGTTTTTTCTTCCATTCTTACAAAATTGAGTAATTAATCTGCAAAAAAACATTGTGCTTTAAGAATACCCACAGATTTTTACTTGCGAGCTTTCCAGCACCTCAATCACCTTCTGACCCACTGGGAGCTATCATCTTTGAACGCTCTTCGTCTCTGCTCAGGTGTTGGCGACGGGCCTCAGCGCCCTCTACTCCTCTCTGCCCAGGAAGATCGAGGTCCGAGGAGACGACTGGCATGCCCTGCGGCGCGAGGACTGGATGTGTGTGTCATCGCTCGTGCTGTTCATGAACTCGCTGGAGTTCTGCAACGCTGTGGTGCAGGTTGCTCATCCCCTGGTCCGCTCCCAGCTCCTGGACTACCTCCACAACGGCTTCCTCGTACCAGTCATGGGCCCCGCGCTGCATAAGGTACGAAAGGGGTGGGCTGCAGAAAAACAAGACCACGGTTACTCGGGTAATCACAGACCAGTAACCTATTCACACTGAAACCATTTTATGTTAGAAAATAGTTCCCAAGGCTTTGAGTACCACAAACTATCTGCATGGCCAGACACCATGAAGGGTATGTGGGGAAAACTGTAATGTTTTTTCTTTTGGACCAGATGAAAACTGACCACTCGGTTATGGCTCCTCTTGGGTTACTGGAAGACAATTTTATTGTGTGCTTGAAGTGATTAGCAGGAGACTGAGAACAATTGTGTGAACTGATTTGTTTATTGGACTTTGTTCAACAGATGAATCAGAGCATGAGTCAAAGCAAAAACATAACCAGTAGAAGTCGTTTCATCGCCTGTTTTTAATCTTAGACTTGATCTTATTCATAGGACAGTTGACGCACTGTCCTTTTTGCAGTTTGGATGCAAATTTCTGTGTGTGTGTTTCCAGTCGTCCGTGGACGAGATGATCGCCAGCACCGCCTACCTGGACCTTTTCCTGCGCAGTGTGTCGGAGACTTCCCTCCTCAAAACCTTCCTGCGCTTCATCCTGCTGCATCGTCACGACAATGACACCATCCTGGACACGCTGCTCACACGCATCAACAGCAATTCAAGGGTATAAAATATGGATGTGTTTGTGTGATAGAGCCTCAGGGCCCTCATATGAATTTATGTGGGTGGTGAGTGGGCTGAGAGCAAGAATTGATTGAAAGAGACTCCAGCAGAATACGAAAGTATCGTGTTGCAAATTGTTTGTAGTTGGTAAAACAATCCACAGTGAAATGTGTCTGATCTTAAATTCCCTCCAAATAAATGATTTCAGTCACTCTGAGACAATAGTTGTGTTTAGGAAACAGAACCAGCATTTCATCACTTCGCTCATCTTTGTTGTAGTTTAAACATCATTTCAGAGAGCAACAGTGGAAATAAAACCGATTTTGGCTTTAAAAAAAAGCTGTGGTTCTTGTCAACTTCATTCTTACGTTTGTAATTTTGGCCATCACTCACATAACATTTTAAGTAGCAGTTTTTCATTACTGGAACACACAGAGGAGAAGTAAAGTGTGTCACATTTTTGTAAATTAATAATGAGGATTTGCGCTAAAATTCCAAAAATAAGACCCAGGTCATTTAAAAAGATGTCCATATTGTATGTAAATTAGCATTCATATCTCTCTGGATAATCACCATTTTTTTAACTAGTTTCCTCGTGTGTGTTGCAGCTCTGCATGGTATCGTTGAGCCTCTTTAGGACTCTTCTCTCCCTGAACTGTGAAGACGTCATGCTGCAGCTCGTTCTCAGGTATGTCTGCACACCTCAGCATGTTTTCCCAAGTGTTACATTTTAAATATGCTAATTTATTATGCAAAACACAAATTCACTGGTTCATATTTTTCTCTATGATCAGCCAGAGTAACTGAATGTTATTCTATGTGTCACTATCTGTCTTTTTTGGCCATTGGAAGGTATTTTTGCCCATGTATCATCTGTTTGTAGATGTACTATCTGGGTCCTGTTCAATGAGCAGTATTTTATTTTTCTACATATTGGCAAAGAAACACTGTCCTCCTTTCTGAATGTTGAAAAATTCAACAGGGGGGTAGTTTCGTTTTCCTCTGTCCCCAAACCGTCACTGATTGAGAACATATTGTGCCCACATATAAATTTTTTACAAGCATTTTGTGAACTTCCAAGGCCAGTTTTCCCTCAGTTGCCTCTTCAGGACTAAAACAGCACATCCAGTTGCCTGTGACTTTGTACGTCTTACTATGTTATCACCAGCATGACTGAGAATCTTGATTAACACATTAACTAAAGTTCTTAACTGCAGTGTTTGACCAGCTGGCCTGTCACAGCAAGATAAAATAACCAACATTACCAGAGAAAATGTGGTATTGAAAAGGACTGAATAATTTGATTTAACCAGAACAGAAACTCTTTAGGTTTTCCAAATAATAATGTCTGTGTGCGTGCGCGTGCGCCTTTTACTCCCAGGTATCTACTGCCCTGTACTCATGTAATGCTGAGTCAACGTCGTGCTATCAGAGACACTGACCTATATGGAAAGTCAGCGGACAAGTTCCTGTCGCTGATCCCAGAGTGCTGTCGGCTGAATGCAGCGCCCTCTACAGAGCGGGACGAGGACAGTGCGTTTTGGGGGAAAGGTGAGCAACATATGGTGGAAAAGGAACAGTTCACACTTACAGCTGCAACTACAACTATGGATATGTCAACCCACAAAATATATTCTTTACATATTGTTGTTTTTTAGACAATTGTGCAGACTGACTCTTGAGTCTTTTTTCTTTGGCCTTTTTCCACACTTTGTGAAGAGCTTTAGGTATAGACTGAAACTGGTAAACTTGCCTACAAAGTGTTAGGATTAATATTATAAATATTATTACCTTATCGTGGACATCCCTTTAACATTAGATAAAATGTTTATAAGATTTATCAAGTTATGTTCAGTTATTTTCTGCGCACAAATTACGTAATTCAAGAGCACAAATTATTGATTTAAGTGCGCTTTTTTTTTTCTTATGACACCTGCTGGGCCCTGTAGAAAGACCAATCAAATCAAAGACAAACGTAGGTAAACGTTTATTGTGTTATGTGTGTTTATGTTTTTTAGCCTCGTAAAGCCAGTAAATTTGATATGATGTGAACTCATCAGTGGTGTTAGAAAGTTAACTGCTTGCATCTGTATTTTGTCATCCTACAGTACTGAACAGTCCCAGCACAGAGTCTCCAGCTCCACCCAGACCCAGTACCCCGTCCCGCTTAGCCTTTTTCATCCGCCAACAAAGCAGTGGAGGTGGATCAGGAGGAGGGGGTCCCTCTACCCCCACTGGCATGGAGCCACTACAGTCGGGTCCTTCCAGCTCCCACCCCCTGTCCCCCGACAGCCCGATGCACCAGCAGCAGACTCACACAGAGTGTCTGGACTGGGATTCGGGTTACCTGGAGTACCTCAAAGACGCCCGGCGGGGCATCGAGCATTGCTCCTGGGCCTGCCGTGACTGGTCGGGGCCCTACGATGGAGAAAACCCCTCCCCGAACACAGTCCCTCCACCCCCACCTCCCCCTACTTCCAACCCCTCCATGGCTATGTTCCCTGAGCACTTCTCTTTCCAGCAGGGAGGAAGCAGCAACACTCCTCCAGGCCAGCAGAGGGCGGCCATTGTGGCTGCAGCACGATCTGAGTGGAGCAGCTCAGAGCGGGACAGCGGAGAGTGGGACGTCACAATCGGCAAAAACAACTGCATTAGCCTCACACCGCGCTCCAAGAAACGCAGCCTGCAGCGAGAGGAGCTCCTGCCAAAGCCCGTACCTCGTCTCGTCCCCTCCTCTTCGTCCTCAGCCACTCCTTTATCGACTTCTCAGCCTGCCTCGTCCCCAGCTCCTCACATTCCGTCTTCTGCCATCACTGTTAGCTACCAGGCCATGTATAACGGAACGATGGGGCAGGGGGATGGCTGCTCAGACAATCGGGACAGAGGACTGGAGGTAAAGAAAGTGAAGAGAGACTTGGGGGAGCAGCAGTATTTGGACGAGAACGCAAATCAAAATGGATCCCTTGTCACCTGCCCCTCCCAAAGCTGCTCCACTCTCCCTCAGTCCGTTTTTAACAACAGTGAAATGAGCGATGAGAAATCTCTTCGCCCGAACCAGATTCCCTCTCAGAGCTCCATCCCCACACCAACGTCCGACACCAAACTGCTGACCAGCGACACCTCATACCCACACGGTGCATCCTCAGATCTTCCAGAAGCCAACCAGGCGCAACAATCTGTAGAGAGTCTCATCCAGGAGCTGCTTGAGCAGGCACCAGGAGAACCACAGCCCCCCGGAGACTCCAACGGCCAGGGCATCAGCATCGAGGCCTTCACACAGGAGCTGAGGGAGCTGGAGGACCGGGTGAAGGAGCGCAGCAGACCAGCCTGCCAGGAGGAGGACACTGCCAGGGAGTCCCTATCCGCTGAGCGGCAGGAGGAGGAACAACAGTTGTCCTCGGCACTGGAGGTGAAGCTGACAGGTGACACGAAGGGAGAAGGGACTGTTGTGGGCCTCTGTAGTCCTGCGAGACCACTAAATCAGCCTGCCTCTCAGCCGTACACAGGTGAGACATTGTTGATGCTTACTGGGCTTTGTTTACCTCAGTTCCTGGGTCAGTTTCATCTAGAATTTGATATTCGCCTGTGGTCAACTGCTTCTCTTGGTTACTTTACTGTCTGCGCACACGTCACCCTCCATAATAAGAAGCGAAGGGTACGGTGCCACCAGTAGACCATTTTGAAGACTGCTTATGCAAGACTCAATACCAGCTTCATGATCAGTGACTCTTGAATAACATTTCTAGCAGCACAATCCACCGCAAGACTAACTGATTCTAATAATTGTAATCATTTTTATTTATAGGCACTATTTTCCATTAAGTCAAAGTCCATAATTCATATATTCATATATTTGAGTTTTTTACCCAACCATTTAACCTCTACAAGCACCCTGCTGCTACAGCCTCTACGCCACCACGTCAGTTATCTAAATAAGCTTTCAAACACGCCTCTGGTTTCATCCCCCGTTTGTTTGTGCAGTTGAGCTGAAGTTGTGTCTTGTATCTCTCCATTCAATGATCCATCAATCTTTCTCTGCGCAGGTCCATTCATGGTGGTTCTGTTTGCCAAGCTGGAGAACATGCTCCAAAACTCGCTGTACGTCAACATCCTGCTCACGGGCATCGTGGCCCAGCTGGCCTGCTATCCGCAGCCCCTCCTACGCTCCTTCCTGCTCAACACCAACATGGTCTTCCAGCCCAGCGTCAAGTCACTGATCCAGGTACACTGCACCATGCACCGCCTGTGATATCCTGGCCCTAGGAACGCTTTCTGTTGAACTTGACCTTTGTAAACCAGGTGCTCAGTACAAAGTGCAGAAGATACTTTCTTTATTTCTACGTGAAGTGATGAGAGTTTTAAGTCTCCTGGTTTTAGGCATCGTTGTCCACTTGCAGCCCACCTTACTTCTGTGCTAGCTTCTCTTCCAAAAGTATCAGGCCCACAATTTATTTGCATAGCGTTTCTTTTCCAGATTCCATTTATGTCCATATTCAAAGATACTTTAAATAAATACCTAATATTTGGCACTTTTTTATGAACACATTCATAATCTCAAGGAAGTAAACCCTTTCAATGTAATGACCCCATGGCCTTTTCTGTAGCTCCACATTCGGAGCCAATGTTTGTCCTAAGAAGAGCACAATACTAACTATTTTTCCATTCAGCACTTTAATATTGTGGATTGTCATAAACATTGCAGCCTCTAGGCTAGCACGGCCTCAGACTTTCAGTGCTTGATTCCACTGAGCATGGCTGCGCTGCATTGTGGCTGTGGCCTCTGGAGCTAGACAATGCTTGTGACTCCACCAGAAACACCGCAGCGCAATTCAGAAGTGTCCCCTTAAAATATGCACTTAGTCTATTTTTGACAGAAGCCACGTCAAGCTGCACAGAGCAAATTGAGATGGGCAAGAAGTCAGACACAGGAAAACCCTCCAATGTTCAAAATAAAAGACCCTGTGCAGACTCACAAATGTATATGGCGACAAACCATGTAACTATGTAGCCTACTTAACCATGGTAGAAGCACAAAAAAGGAGAAATGACCAAATCAAATAAGAGCTGAGCCAGTCAACAAAACTGGGCAGGCAAAACACTACAAAATTGCGTCAGCCATGCCCGGTGCATTGTGTGTTAGTCTTATGCTCTGTCAGAAACTGTCACTAAGTGAAATTTACTGACCCATCAATTCAACAAAACAAGCCAGCTGTTTTTGAAAATAAGTTTTTTTTTTTTTTTTTCCCTGACTCATCTCAGGTCCTAGGCTCTGTGAAGAACCGCATCGAGGCGTTTGCAGCCTCCCATGAGGACTTCCCGGCCATGCTGAAGAAAGCCCAGCAGTATCTGGTGGCCCGAGGCAAAGTGGACTGGACTGACTCGCCTGCAGCAGTTCCTCCCCTGCGGCGCTCTGATTCATTAGGTGAGGATGGCAACAGCAGAACCTGCATTTACACATAACTCTGTGTGTGTGTGTGTGTGTGAGTGAGTCAGGAAAGAGTCAGGTTTTGCCTTTTTCTTCATGTCTTCCTATCTAAGAAGGAGGATAATTTACTGCAAAGAGGTTCCTATCTAAGAAACCTCTTTGCAGTTAATTATCCTCGATCAGGGTATATTGTCATTATTTCCACCCACAAATCTTTATATAGTCTGAAATCTATAGAAATTAGAGAAAAAAGGCTAGTTAATTATTATAGCACCATTCACACACTGGAGTAGTTTATACATACAATTTAACTTTAACTGAAAACATAACAATTATTGACAAATAATTTGCACGAGATATTTAAAAAGCTTTTAAAGAGACAATCACCTTAAATTATTCTAATCAATGTCTTCTTGTTCCAGTGAAGAGTCGTAAGCCATCCCTCGGAGACCTGATCCTTCGTCACACCAACAGCCCGACCCGGGCTCGGCACGCTGCTCAGCTGGCCCTTGCACACGTACGGGACGGCGGCCAATCACTGCACAGCGCTCTGTTTAAGGGGAGCGGAGGGGCCTCTGGCCTAGAGAAGCAAGCCGAAGCACTCCGAGTGAAGAACGCCGTCTACTGTGCCGTTATCTTCTGTGAGTTCCTCAAGGAGCTGGCTGCCCTGGCTCAAGAGCACGCCGTCTCTCTGCCTTTCCCTCACAGCCAGGAGGCAGAGGAATAGATGGTGGACTCCTCAAATCCAGCTCTAAGCCTCAATTTCTTTTAGTTTAGGCTGTAAAAAGAGTTCAGTAGGATTCTCCCATCAACAGACAGACAGCACTGAGACTTTTCTGTCACTGAAGTGGGTCGTCTGACAGACAGAGAGCAAGATGAAAACAGTGGCGTTTTTGTACCAAAATCATTATAGGATACCTATAGGACTGGAAGAATTGTCCTCATCTGTAAACTTATATGATATGTGCATATCATGTATTATATTTACATTCTATACACAGATAATCTCTGTAAATGCTTGAGATTTGGGAGCTTGTACATACACATACCATCTCATGGTATAATGTGACACAGTAAAGCCACAGATAAAAGAAATAGGTGCACATATTGGTGCTAGTCGATACTCTTTATCTTTTAAGTTGAAAGGGTGCTTTCAGGTGGCACAGAGGTGACGAAAGTTTTGTCCTTAAAAATGTTGACAAACACCAAAAATCGTATGGAAGGAATACACTTTGAAGTTGATTGACTAGCTTACACTTTCAGTCATCTTCGGCCATCTCTGTCACAGAGCTCTTCCTCTATCAAGGACCGGCCAGTAATGAAAGCCGTTCCTAGTAACACATCTCCAGTGTCCATTTTATTTTCAAGAGGCTGCACTGCTGCAAAGACTAGTCACCAATGAATGAGATGAAAACTGGAACACGCAGGTGAGCTAGTGCCATTTTCTCTCCCGCGAGTCAGCACCACCGCCACAAATGTACTGGAAAAACTTTGGATAATTAATGCCATTTTTCAAAAATATTTTCTTTGAAACACATTTGTCTTTTGCATTTGCACCATTTTCTAGACATATCAGCAACGCGCGGGAGCAGGTTCGTCTGTCGTTGTGTATGAGGTGACGCCACCTCTTCAGGCCATCAGTAAGCCATTCACCTGTTGCCATAAAAGAGGCTGCGGCATTGAAAAGACAGCAATGCTTTACAATTCATACCTTTCGTGTGTCATTTAGTCTTTTTAAAAGACCCAAGAGTCTGCGAGAAAAAGGCGAGAAGGGAAGGAATTTATTTCTAGGGAGCGTTGGCACAATTTCCATTTACTTTGAACTGACAGTTGAAAAAGGTCCTCATGAAGCATTCACTGACTTTGCTTTAAACAGATCTTTGTGAGCTGTGAGCTAAAGCTGAGGCTTGTAAGAAGCGATCTCCTACTCAGTTTTTTTCAGTTTTAGTTAGCTTCAAAAATTGTCTCTTTTGGGTGAGACGGGCCAAACTGAACATACAAACTGTTCAACTTGGAACTTAACATGCTGCTATTTTTTTAACACTAACACCCATTTTTATTATTAGTGTAACAGCTACTATCTCTTCATTTCATTGTTAGGTACCAAGTATAAATGTGTATGTGAGGATGTCAGTGCCAGTGTTGTGATCGGCATTTAATTTATTCTTTCTTGCGTCTGAGGTCGAATGAAGTCGCAGCCACTCAGTGTTAAAAGCTTTTGCCAAGACAAAATTCTCTTTCAATTCTCTTGTTTTTTCATCAACGTTATTGTCTTGGGAGTTTTATAAGATGGCCATTCTTTATTTTACAGGTCTGTAATTTCGAAATTAAATGCATTTTCTAGTTTTTTTTTTTTTTTTCCACTGTATGACTGCAATGCAAAGTCCATCTATGACCGTGCTTTTTGTGAAATCCTTTTTCTGCACACACTAGCCATTCTCTCTCAACTTTTAGCAGTAGAGAAACTGCCCATAATGCAAAGTCTTAATATCATTTTTTGACAACGGTTCCATCTATTCTCAACTTGTCAAAGCCATAGTTTGTAAATGTAATAATTCATTACTGCTGTAACTCACTTTTTTTATGGAGGTTTCTAGACACATTTCGTAACACCCCTTACCTTTTAGTTTGTTTTTTAAATGTCATTAGTTAAGAGTTTCTGCATGCCAACTGAGGCCAGGTTTATAATGAAATAATAATTAAGTAGTGTAGAGTAAGTTTTCTTTGGTTTGTGCAATAGTGCAGAGCTTAAATTAAATTCCATGCAGTAGGTTTTAGCGGTTAGTGAGTCATCCGGGTGCCTGCGGAGATCAGCGACGGCAACAAGAACACGTTTCACACTGAATGTTTCCTCTCAGCTAATTAAATTGGTAGAGAAATCACTTCTGTTTTTGACCCACTGCCATCCGTCCGTCCATCTGTTCACCTTGTCTGCTGTACATCCGCGTGTTCAGAACGAGATTCGTGTTTCCCTTGCACGGAGAAAAAGGTCGGAGGGTCTCATTACTCACCAGGTTCATCTACTTTTAGACTCAAGATTGTGTTTTTTTAACTAAACAATTTTTACTAGCAGTTCCGTTAAAGATGGGTAGTAATATGAGAAAGGTGGTAAATGCTCAGCTTCTCAGTGCTATCACTTACTCAGTCAGCTGGTTGTTCAGTGTAATTTAGTTTCAGTCAGTTATCTGTATTTCTTCGTGGACACCAAAGACAATCTCTCTCTGACTATACCCCAAACTCCCAGTGTCTCTGTTTAAGCAATCATACACAGTTTCATGATGCACAATATGAACACTGTAATAAACTATTACCTGCTTTCAAATAACCCCACAAAAAAGGTGCCAATTACTAAAATATTACAGTTAATAGGTCATATACACAGAAACTGTTGAAGGTTGGAAAACATTGTGATAATGTTGTGATTGTTGGTGCGACGTTGTCAGATGATAGAACCAATGGCCAAACATATGAATCCCAAGCTTTTTAAACAGGAATTATCCTTAAAAAGGTTATTATTTTACCAGCTCAAGCTCATTGGACAGGGCGAGGTGTGTTTTTGAGATTTAAAAAAGGGAGCTGCTTAACTTTGAGTTGCAAAACCTAAATTGTTGGCATTGGTCCTCTGTGACTCTTATTTGTCTACACTTCCCGCAGTCATTTTTCACTGCTTCATTTGTTGTATCTTTTTTTTCTTTTATTTTTTTACTTGTGTTTCATTTTAAAGAATACGAAGATGTGTTCATCTTGGGGTGTTTTATAAAGGATTATTCCCTACAAGGGACTTCAGCCCGTAGTTGTCAGATGGCTGGACGTAAGCAGAGATGAATTTAGTGCAGCGCTGATATAGAAAAATCCAACTCGCACACGGTGAAGTAAAACGGGGAGTTAGACGACTATAATCAAGGCTGCATGTTACTGTGATGGATTAGCTAGCTTTATGGAGGTTGTTCTTGATGCTCCACAAGAATGAATGGCAGCAAAAGGGCTTTCTCTGCTGGTAGAAAAGTGAGCCCTCCAACTGTAGGGATCGTGGACAGACAGGGGGACAGCTTGTTTAAAATACACAAACACCAAAACTGATTTAAAATCTTACAATTTACATTTGGGAAAGGGATTTTAGTTTTTCAAAATACAGCAACTACGACGGCTGAATGCTGAAGCCAGTCAAGTTCATTTAATGGCCAGAAAACCAAATTAATAAAAAAAATGAGTTAAATGTGTGTATTTGTTTACTGTCAGGAGATGTAGCCTCAAAATGTATCCAGTCTTACGTTTGTGAATGCTTGATAAACAGGCGTCTCTGACGTGTTGGCTGCTGTTTCACCTCAACTCTACTCAGACTCCATTTCTGTGCTTTTCTGACTCCGTTAACTGACAAATGGTGGTAAGCTTCAGACATTTTTGTGGGATTGTATTTTATTTCATTTTTTCCTCTGTCTGTTTCAGACAGATGCACTTGAACACTACAATTATTCAATCAATGTCAATGAGTTAAAAATCTTTCACATCCTTCAACTTGGAGTTGTTTAGTTGAATTCAGAGCATGAATTGTGTTCTGAGTTTCTGTGTTTCTATATTGAAGTTTAGCGTTCAGCTGTCACTCACTTTCATTTGAATTGGAATTATGTCATCCCCCTTTTTGTTTTCGAGTTGTTTTATCGCCCCAACCCCAGGGACTGATTTTTGAACACATCGTGTACACTTTGTGCCATGTTTGAAATAGATTCCTCGTGTTGATTTGTAATGCCTATCACGGGATGTACAGTATCTTCTCACTTTTCCTTTTTCTTTTGAAGTTTGACTTTTGATTTCTCCCCTGTGATCTATGCAAAACATGCTCTGGTGTCCCCCGTTTGAAACTGAAAGATAATGTGGATTTAATGTGTAAATACTGTAAAAAGCAATGGGTCAAAAATGCACAGGTATGTGAAATAACCAACAGGACAGAATGAAAATCATGCTAAAAGTAATGTAATGATGAATGTTGTCAGAAATATTTTTCTATATTTTGAAATCATTAGAAAAAAGGACAAAAATACATACAAAGTGGGAAAAAGCTGTCAGAAGAACACTACAAAGGGAATGTTTTTATTAATTTATAAATTCTTTGCCTAGCAATATCGCATTGGTCCTGGTGTCCTTTCTTTTGTTGACTTGTGATGATGAATTTAACCCCAACACATCTCCAGTATGGTGAATCTGTGGTTTCCAACCTTTTTGGCTTTTGCAATAAGCAACATGTACTTATGACCTCCCATCAAAGATTATATCTTTAATATTGACCTAAGTTAAAGTCAGTCAATGAGGGATTTTCCTGCTTGAGTTGTTTAATTTGAATGATTTTTGGCCTGAAAAGGTGAAACTATTCCACAGCAAAACAAGACAAGAAAAACATCAAATACAAGAAAAGTTGAGTTTTAAGTAAACCTGAGCCCCAGAACGTTAAAGACAGGAAAACACTCAGAACAACTAGAGATCATGTAAACATGCTCACTGCACAAGTACTAAGCAGTGTTTATTTATTATTTATCCATTTGGAGGCCACATCCCAGCGTGTACTGAGGATGTTTACCTGCACACTACTATGTCATTTTCAGGTTTATTTCAGGAGAATCATTTATATGTTAACACATCCTGCTTTCTGGTCTTTGTCTTGACACTAAAGCTATACCAACAGTCAAGTAAACAATTACCGGTCAACAATTAAATGAATTAATTGCCAACTATCAATCTATAATCTAACTATAATCAATAATTTTGAATAATTTTTTGGAAAAAAGGTCAGAATTTTGTTTTTAGCTTTGAAATATGAAAATGTTCTGGTTTCTTTAGTCTTTTAATGACAGTAAACTGAATGTCTTCGTGTTGTGGACAAAACAAGACAATTGAGGACATCACAGCGAGCTTTTGAAAACAGTGATCAGCAAAACAACAACAAACAATCAATTAAATGAGGACAAAACAATCAACAAAACAATCAATTAAATGAGGAAATGATCGATAGATTAATTGATAATGAAAATAATAATTGCACCCCTAATTGACACTGGTAATGTGGTGATAAATGAATAATTCTTGTCATTTTTGTTCTCCTCTTTCATTAATGGCGAGGAGATGGAGAATAAAACAGCAGAATGATAAATGCAGCAGTATCAACTGTCCAGGAAACATTAAACCAAACTGAGTTCATCCACTACAGAGAGATGCTGGACTGATGCCCGTACGATCAGAAACCTGGACAATGTTTAGAGCCAAAACAAGTCATCAGTCATTCATTCGTTTATTCCTTCTACGACACAGGGTTATATAACACGTGCAAGTTGTAGTTCCTTAAAAACAACAATTATATAAATGGATGAATTAATAATCAGTTACAAAAATAAACTTTTTTGTGGTGGCTTGTGGAGGATGAGTTGAGGAGTCTTTCAGCCTGAGGGAGGAAGCTGCTCTGCAGTCAGATGGTACGGCAGCGGATACTTCTGTATCGCTTGCCAGGTGGCAGCGGGGTGAAAAGGCTGCGGTGGGTGCCGTGTCTTTTGGTACCCTTTGGTCTCTGCGCAGGCACCTCACCGATATCACTGATGATAGAAATAACTGTTTAAAAATATCCCATATTCTCCAGTGCGAGGATGTTCTTTCTGTGTTTGATATTGTAATCAATGTAAAAAATGAAGATCTTTGGGTTTTTGACAAGCAATTTGATGACATCGCCTTAGGCTCTGCCAAGGATTGACGGATATATTTCACTATTTTCTGACATTTTAAAGACCAAATGATTGATTAAGAAAATAATTAGCAGTAGCAGCCTTTATAATGTTAGAATTGTGTATACAGGGATATTCCAAGCAAAACCCGTGGTCACCAGTAGAGCTGGGATAATCCATCAATCAACAGAAAATTAATTCTGATAATCAGTTGCTTATTTCAATAATTGAAGAATAATTAAAGCAAAACTGTACTGGTTCCATCCTCTCAAATGTGAATATTTGCTGCTTTGTGACAGTAAACTAAAAAAACGTTTTTTTAGCTATTTGAGGACGTTTTATGGACAAAGTGATTAATCAATTGAGAAAATAATCTGTACATTAACTGACGATGTTAATATTTGTGAGTTGCAGCCCTAGTCACCAGTACATCACAGAAACATGGCTGAGAGCACATAAAGTCTGTGCAGAAAGGACTGGCTCAAACCCAGAACTGAACACTAAGATAACCGACCCTAGAAATCAATATTTAATGCAAAGCCAAATAAATTAGCCATAACAGGAACCCTTCTATGCAGTTCCATCATACAGCACGTCTAGACAAAAGCTCATAGGTGTATTTCACAGCACAAAGAAGTGTCAGTTCCTCAGGCATCATTAACACAGCTTTTGTGTTATTAATGAATTTACTTCCCAGACTCTTTTTATTATTTCAAGGTAAGGCATAAAGTACACAGCTTGAAGATCAGAAAAATATCAATTGTGGATGCACGTTCTGAGTTTGCATACACAGGAAACTGGAGTTGGTTTGGTGGTCTCCTAGCAACAGCCAATAAGAGGGGAAATGGCACAAAGGGCTGGCCAGAGGTTGATGGTAGAAGTGAAGGAGTGGGGACACGCGGTAACTAAGAGCAGAGCATGGGGTTGTAGCAGCACTGGTACCTGACTACAGGTAAGACACTGATGGATTTGTCTTTAATTCTACAAAATCATATTTCAATAGTTTTATTTTAAAGTACATTTTGAGTGTTTCTTGATTTCATTCTTCTTTTGTGTGAAAATGTAAACCTGAAAAGTGTTCAGTAAGGTAATTTGTTTGAATATTTAAATTTGTTTCACAGTTAAATTACAATTTTTTTTATTGCTTCTAAAGTTGACTCATTTTTTGAGACAGACATGTAGTAGTAACACGGGTTTGCTCATTGACTGTGCTTCTAATGTGACCCAGTTATCCCACAGCACTCACAAGATGGGTAACTGGACCCTCCTCATCTATAATGTAGTGTGGTAATGTGAGTACTAGAAACCTGGTCTGTGACTCAAAGAGATAAGACTGGCAATGTGCCTCATATACACCTGTCACGTATCTCCAACATGAAAATGAACAGGAATAACTTCACTGGCACTGGTTGTGGAAGGAAAACTCAAAGTCTATTCTTTAAATACAAGTAGCTACACCCCAATGGGAAAAGTCCACTACAGCTCTGAAGTTCTGTATTGATTATTATACCCAAGTACAAGACAACAAAAACCTTCTCAGGTATCAAAAGTACACTTGACTTGAAGAATAGATACTTTCAAAATGTTTAATTAGTAATGTGTTAAGTAACTTAAGTAACTGCAGCAAGTAGACTTACAGTAGGCTACTGAAATGCTAGTAAAAATGCCACACTCATTCAAATATATTAAATACACTCAACTACTGACATAAATGGCTACTCCGACAGTGTCTTAGTATTACATACATATTACATACATACATAGCCACTTCAATTCAAAATATGTCCAAACTCTTACGGTTTTACGGTGCATGACCAGTACATGGTTGATGAGGCTGGTGATAATCAATTCTTTGTTGTGTATAATGTTTCGGCCCATTTTTTCTCTTGGTGTAAATCTTGGTCACAAATCATTGTCCATATCGGTCATACAGTAACATTTAATTTCTAAAAAGGATCAGGAAATATTGTATTTGTTGGGGCCTATTTTCATCTGTTCAACTTTGGTTTATTTTCCCCCCATAAATCATATTCCAATTAATTAATTTCACTCTATATTTTTCCCCTGGTGATTCACGCCCGACCTGCAGTGGCTCCATTCCCCACCAGGGGGGCATGCCCCACAGTTTGAGAACCACTGCATTAGTTCCTAAGTTTGGTCTTCAAAAGCTAATGCTAAAGTAAAATGACTGTGCCATAAATAGCTTCTAGCTTTGGTAATCACAAGGCTAACAGTTAAGATAAATTCATTGGAGGTAGCTCATTGTAAACAAAGCAAATATAAATGATATAATGTTATTTACCGTTTAGTATTGGTCACTTGTTATTAAAGCTATATTGAAACTACTTGTTGAGCTTCAACATACAGGTTAAAACACATACACCTCTGTAGTATGCATGAATTATAAGAATGGACCTATGTGGGATGTGTCCTAACCACTGAGTAATAAAAAGTGTGAGGTACCAAAAGTTTTCTGAATACTTGATTATTTTTCTTCTTAATTTAAATATATATTTTGCAATTTGAGTCATAATTTGGTAATTTCAGACTGTATTTGTAACAGGCCAAATCCTTGTACAGCCTTTTCCATTTTAGAAATAATGAAGTAGCAAAAAGCATTAGGCCTATATATTATTCATGCATTGGACTGTGCCAACTGTGCCCATTCCTATAAATGAAAAAAATGTTTGGGGCCATAAACTTCCTGATGTATTCCCGGTAAGAATGCTACTTTCTGTTTATTATATTATGGCTCCCTGGGGTTTCAGTATTATCACAATACATCACATAGAGGACAGACATCTCTCACTGCCATTTCTCTACATCACTTTGTTCTGCTCATGAATAAAATATCAAAGTGGGTCTGTTTGCAGAACTGGGGAGTTGAGAAGTATTGTTTTGTTGACACTTGGGCTGTCTCTTTACCTCCCACTCTCGCCCTCACTCTGGATGCTTCTGGCTGTCTGCCGCTATTTGAAATGCTAATAGATATCTCGGTACAATACTCAAAACTTTCTTCCTCCTCTATGCTACTTCTTTCTGCCCACAGCCTTGTACTCTTTTGGCCTCCTTTATAACTGTATCACCTTTCCATAAGCAGCTGTTCACTTGGCACCATAGAAATAGCTCTAAAAGACATATCTGGTGCAAGTAGTAAAGTGGTTGCTGAGTTGTCTGTCACACATTTCCCCACAAATAAAATCTAGTCGGCTGACAAGTAATTTTCATTGTGGTGAAATGTTTAATATTTGGATGTCGCCACCACAACCTTTAGCACAGGTACACAGGTCAATATTACTCTAATTACTACAACTACACAAGTTACAGCCTCAAAGAGTACCTCAAAAATAGTTTTCATAAATAAAAAATGAAAGAAATTTTTTTTTTTTAAATTGGATTATATATGAGGGCCCCGC